ATCATCCAGGGTGCAAGGTTTACAACATAGTTCACTCTCAGTGCTAGATATTCTATGGGTTTGTTTAAATGTCAGATGAGATGACTACCCTATAGAATTATATACAATAATTGAAGATTCGTAAAATGTCCTAGTGTGGTCTTTTTGGTGTTCTCAACAAAACTTGTTGTAGGCACTGCTGTCCCCCACACAGCAGGTGTCATAGAGGTCAGGAAATGAGGTCATTTAGCTTCTGAAGGCCAGGGCTTGCTCACAGGGAGCTAGCAGTGGACCTGCTTCCCTCCATTTGAGGGCCTTGCTCTACCCTCTAAGTTCATCAGCAATGCCAAGGCCAAGATCAAAAACTGAACTGTGAGACTCCTGGGAACCACATGGCACCTGTGTGGGTCCTGAGACCCTGGGCCATGGCAAGCCAGGTCATTAGACTGTGGATTGCGTGTGAACAGCTTCTATCATGATCACATGGCAGATAATATTGTAGGTTATAGAGAATTTCTAAGTTAATGAGAAGTACAGCTATCTTTTCCTTTATACGCACATTCTGTTCATAAGTTAACTGCTCATTCACTTCAGTTAGCTATTTTTTTAAAAAAGCATATTCTACATGTGTAGCTAACCCAAGCCTTATTGGCCATTTCCAGAACAACAAAACGACCCTACCTCTGGCTGTAGAAAGAATACTACACTCACTCTCAACACACAGCCAAGCACCCCAGAGCTTGCTTCCCCTCTTGGAGGGAAATACAGATTCTGAAATTATCATTCAAATAACAATACAAATATCTTAGACTCTCCCAGAATAAGTAGTTAGGTGTTTTCTCTCCTTGTTAACTGGAGTATCTTATTTGTCCCTGCTGTTGTGGACTTAAGTGGTGTTTACTGGAATTGGTTTTGCTAAAGTGAAATTTTAAAGAGAGGCTGGGAAAATGCCCTCCTGAACACAGTTATCACATATACACTCATATACTCAGGGGTTGGGGTTCACGAGATGTGAATAGACGCACTTCCAAATGCCCCCTTGGATTTCCTCAAGCAGGGCAGATGGGAGGAAACGCAGCTGTGCATGGTGTTGGAGATCTCAACCCAGCATCTCAGGCTCCTCCATTTTCCAGGGATACAGGATACTTTCCAGGAATCCATTTAAAATGACTCACAACATCACTGCAGACAGTCGAGGGCCAGCATGGAGGATGCTCCCATTTGCAGCATGCTATTGCTGCTCTCGGTGATTTTGCAATGACAGTTTTCCCTTCATAGAACCAGTTTAAAATTAGAAAAATCAAACACACATTAGAGAAAGCAGGTTTACTCTGCTATCAATTGATAGGGGATGTAAAGCTCCCAGCACCTGGGCGGGGCCCAGCACTTCCCCTGCAGAGCCCAGGTCAGCAGTAGACCCCTCCTCTAACCTGGGAGCTGTTTGCCTTTTGGAGCTCAGCCTTAGATTTCCAATACTGTGAATATGTTTGCACTGGGGCAAGCCGCCTCTGCAACACATCTGCACACAAGTCTTGTATGTACGTGCGTGTGTGTGTGTGCGAGTGTGTGCTACTCTCTTCCTCCTTTATTTAAAACCATGAATAACCTTGAAAATTGAACTTCCCACTCTGTTCTCGGTTCTCTCTGCCCTTCTGGACTAGAGGTAAGTTAGCATGCCCTATGCAATAACCAGAAAATGATTCTTACAGGGAATGCAGTTTGAAGCCAACAGAGTTAAATATTACAAGGAGCCTCCAGGACCCCAGAATTGTCTCCTTGTAGAAGCTGGAAACCACCCAGGTAGGTGGGGGTGGGAAGGGCCCCCACAAAAGAAAAATGCTGAAATATGACCCTGTCTTTCAACTTTAAATAAGCATTTCTGTCCTAATAGAAGTCCCATTTAATGTCTCCCGCAGCTTTGATTTTGGAACACGTCACATTCCTCATTAAAGCAATCACTGTTAAAACATAAAGCAACACAGGATTTATTTCTTCATTAAACTGATGATCCGTATATGAAGCCAATTAACATTATGAGTCTGGTGAACATCAAGTGTAAAGAGGTTAGAGAAAATTAAAAGCAGTCACCTTGGTCTTTAGATAAAGAAAGTACACTTTTAGGTTGTAAATTATCAGAGTGTCCAAGCGGGACAGATCGGCAAATTTGGTTAATTGGGAAATACATTTTACTGCATAAGAATTAAGGAAAAATGAGAGTTTCCTTGCTAACGTCCCCCTCCCCTTTTGGTGAGGGGAGATCATAACGAATATCTATTAGTCACCTTCTCCTTCTCCAGGGCCCCGAGTATCGGAGACAATTGGGGGAAATAGGGGTTCACGTCATCAAAGTTTTCTGTAGCCTTTCGTCTCTGCGGTTGTTTGTTTGTTTGTTTATTTGCAGTTTTGCCATAGGAACGAGCCCAACCTCGTAGTTATGGGAAAAGGACTTCTGGCAAATTGAGGCTGAGGGTCCCGAGCTGGCTCGGAGCCCCTCGCGAGGTGGGTGTTTTTTTAGAGCTGAGCTGGTTGTCCAGCCAAAGACTAAGAACTTAGCCAGGTTCGCATCGAGGGGCGCTGGGAGGGCCGGGCCGAAGGCAAGGGACTGTGGGGTATTTCTCTGCTATAGCCACCGAGTAGGAGCCATGCATTTGAGACTGCAGAGTAGGGAGTTCGCTTCTTGCTCCCAGCGCTTACTGCGCATTCCAAATGACTTTCTCGAAGATTTGGGCCAGGAAAAGATTAGGATCGCCGGCTTTGATGCGGCGCATTGCAGGACCTCACAGGGGCCCTAGGGACTGGTGGTTTCTTTGGCCAGTAAAAAGTCTGGTAGGGTGGGGACACTCGCCGCTGTCCAAGGTTCTGATCAGTCGACTGATTCGGAGAGGTGTTCAGACACCCAGGACCAGACTGCTCCGACCCCGGGACAGACCAGGGCTTCACATAAATCCTTACGGCTCAATGTCAGCCACAGGGAACTGATCAAAGCTTGGATGTCACTGTTTTCTGGGGCCAACGCGGCAATCGGTGCTCGGTTGCTGGGGCCGAGGCTCCCGCGGATAACACAAGTGCGCTCTGAGCGGAGCTGGCGGAGCAGCTTTCCTCACTTCGCTTCCCCAGCGCTCGACTCCCAGAGCGCACAGGGCGCCCGCGGGAAGCTGCAGCTCAGGACAGGAGGGCATCGGAGGGGGCTTTCGGCTTACTCCGGCGCTCAGGGGGCCCTCGGCTCCTAGAACCGGCTGCAGAGAGCGGGGATGCTCCCTGAGCCCGACCGGGAGGGAAGCAGGGACCCGTGAGCTGCTGTGGCCTGGGACCGAGAAAGGGTCTGCTCCCGGCCTCGAAGCTGTGCACTGACCCGGTCCCGCCATCCACAGCACGGGCCCGCTCGACTTGCCGACGCTCACCGCCCGGGCCCGCCGCTTGGTCTCGTAGAATCTGTGGCCCTAGAGGAGAGTCGGCGCGGCAAGGTCTGTTCTCTCGGAGCCGAGCAGGCATTTCCAGCCTCTCCATGATCCCAGCAGGGCCGATTCCAGCCGGGAGCCGCTGAGTCCAGAGAGGACAGCAAGAGTGAAAGAGGCCCAGCCCAGCCTTGCGTCGGCGGGAGCGGTGCAGTGTTTCTTCCTGGCTGTTTTCCCAGGGGTGTCCACTGGCCGGTCAGAGCCTCAGCACTCAGTTCTCCAGCTCCGCGCTACTTGTCTCGGCCCGCTGGTCCACGAGTGGGGCCCGCCAGGCCTTTTGTTTCCAAAGCTCTGTGTCTTTAAGATCAAGGCTGCATCTCAGGCCGGGCAGGGACTCGACCCACCGCTTCGCCAAGGCTCTCAAACGCAGCATTAGAATGTTTATAAAATATTCAATTTATGTAGTCTGTCCAAGAAGCCATCGTCCCAAAATAAAATCGGCAGTCTAGACGGAACAGACACCAGAACTTATCAACAGTTGTCTGATTCGCATCTTCTGATGCATCTTGAGTGGGTCATAATACCAACTTTATTTTCAGTGGTGCATAAATTAATTACACGCATTTAATAACCAAAATATCATTATATTCCCCCTTTAATATCATAAAGGCTTTCCGCCAGGGAAGCACTTAATAGTGCAGGGGGCCGTAACGGGCTATTATCCTGGTGTAATGCTATTACAGAACCAATTATGCGCCATTAGACTTGCTTTTTTTGCAGTTTATGTGATTTGATCCAATCCCGCGCCCCTGACTTGAAAATTTCAACCCGGTACTTTAGAGTTTAATTTTCACCCAGGCAGAGAGAAGGGCGGCCTCTCTCCGCTGAGTGTCTGCCTCAGATGCATTTTAAAAGTAATTGCGAAGGGTCCCACTGCATATCATTTGCAGGGAGAAGCGAACATAAATTCAGGGACCCCGTGCTGAGAACAAAATCAAACTTTCCTTTTGTACGATCGCTTGGAAAGGGAAGCCGTGTGCAAAGAGTACCCCCAAAACCCATCCGGCGGCGACAATTAGCAGCGCTTTGGTAATTTTGCAGTCCTGGAGTCGCCAGGCCTCTGACAAGGGCGAGACCAAATCCAATCTCACTCAGAGAAAGAAGGGTTGAGTTTGAGGGGACCCAGAGGGGTGGGGTTGGGGTGAGTATTTAGAACATAATCTCTTTTGGGTGGGGGAATAATATTGGTAGCTGTTATTGTTGTTGTTTTTTATCTTCTTTTAAAAGAAAAAAAAAGGAAAAACATTCCTGATGTTTGCTGAGAAGTGACGGATTTTTTTTTTTTTTACACCACGTGGGCCATTTGTAAGGCCCAATAGACCTATCCAAGTTACTCGCTGTAGACAGCGCTGGAAATAATCAGATTAAGGCCAATTATGCGTGAGATTATAAAGGCGAGTGCTGAGCGGCGGCGCGCGCTGTAGACAGACAGCAAGACATCTGGCCACTTCCCCAGTCACTTCTCTGGTCCTGCGGGCGCCAGCAGCGCCAAGCCCCGCCCGCCGCCAGCCGAGCCCCGCGTGCGGACTAGAGGCGAGCGCACTCCGGCCTTCTCGCCCGCCTCCCGCAGAGGTAGGCAGGGTTCCCGAGCGGCTCTCCAGGCTCCCTGAGCTGGGCCTTGGGGGTCCACCGGCTTCTTGGCCCGAGCTGCTGCGCGTGCAGATGGCCTTGAGCGATCGCCGGACCCCGCTGCGGTGGCCAAGTACAGGGCTTGTGGCTGGGACCCCTGAGAACCAGGAGCCAGACTGTGCCCAGCTTTGTGAGGGCGCGGTTGTCCAGCAGCAGGACCTACGCGAAAGGCTTGCCGTAGGGTCACGGCTTGGGACAGGAGGTGCAACCACTTCTCCCACCAATCCCGCGGTGGCCCCAGGGGACCAAGGGCTTGGGAAAGGCTTTGTAGGAGGGGCACTCCCTGTGATCCTCGGGGTGTGCGGGCAGGAGACTCAGGCTCTATTGCTGTTTGCTTTGCAGCCAGGCCAGAGCCACGGGCAGGCACAAGTCTGTCAGGCCGCCACCAGCCCTGGTCCAGCCGTCAGGGCCCATCCGACCGTCAGCGATGTTTTATTTCCACTGCCCGCCACAGCTAGAGGGTGAGTAAGCGCTGTTTTCCGGGGCTTTTTGGCCAGGCCAAGCTAGCCAAAAGGGCCGGGGCTGCAATACTGGCTGATGGGTGTAAGGGTCTTCGCCCCACGGGGTGGCAGCCTCATGGTAGTGCTTAGGGGCACCCTTAGCCCCCTCCCTACATCCAGCTCCATCCCTCCGCCCGGGTGCCACCTGCCTCCCACCTCCCTCTCCGCCTGGGTCGCGCTGCCCCGGGCTATGGGTGCCTCAGGGACGCCTGGTCCTCCCAGCACAGATGCTGGTGTCACGCCTCTAATCGGGGCTCCTCCGCCCAGGGGGCCCGCATCAATCTTTCACGGTGTTTTGCTAATATCCCAGAAAACCAAAGCAAGTTGAACTGTCCGCTGAGTCCTGGGCTCCACTATGCGACAGTAAGGGCCTGGTTGCTGGCCTGCTCTCACCCTGGGCGTTGGCAAGAGTGCTCCGGGATCGCACACGTAATTCTGGACAACTTAATGTCAGTTTCTAGCGGCAAAGCTGTCCCTGGAGGCAAGCTCCCTGATACTTACCTGCCCGGAGTGTTCAGGAATAGTTTCATCTCTGCGACTTACTGAATCTCTGACCTCAAATGCTCCGCTCCTCAGCCCCCAGGGCCAGGATCTGGTTGTTTAAGGTCTCTAGACCTTAGACCTTTCCCTATTCCTGGTGTGTTTTCTTCTCCCAGTTGTTAAGTGGGGCAGGGGTAGTGAGAAGTGAAGAGCTTCCATCCCTGGGTGTCTCTGACCAGGGCCTGAGGGACCGAAGGGGAAGTTCTTCCTGGCAGTGATTTGTAGCCAGCAGGTGGACATGCTGTTCCCTACTCTGGCTTGTGCTGGGGCCCAGAGGAGACACTGAAACGTTTATATTCCTGGGACACTTGTCCACCTTGCTGTAGGTTGCCATGAGCAGTTTTCAGTCTCAGCCACGATGTGGGAAAGTTTGTTTTCATTTTCCATATACAAGCCATTAAGAGTCCAGCAGAGTTTGCTGAAGGAGGCTAGTGGGTATCAGCATGGAAGCCTGGCGTGCCTGCTTTTCAACACCAGAGAAGACCCAGGCGGGAAGGACTGACAACTTACAACTCTGCCCTGGGCCTGGAGGGGCCCCTATGGGTTTGTGGTGGGCAGTTGCCCTCTGCTGTTGACTCCAAGCTCAGCACTGATTGCCAGTCCCTAGTCCAGGCTTTTTTCTAATGGAAAAAAGCGTTTAGCAAGTTGTATACATTCTGGGCGATCAAAGGGGAAACCGCTGTTTGTAAGGATGGGTTACGGAAGTGACTTAGAGACTGCTCTATCCCAGGCTCTGTCTGACTTGCTTACTAACTTATTTAGGGGATAGTCGGGGGTCGGTTCACATTTGCTACTCAGGTTCTGTGTGGGCCCTGCCTTGTCGATGACTCTGGTTGACGTGACCAGGGAGGAGGGCTTCAAGTACCTTTCGTGCTTTTGTAGATATAAACCTATGCCAGTTTCTCAGGAGGGGAATTGATGTATAGGTCAGTGTTGCTGGGGCAGGATGATGCTCTGTAGCTGGGAAAGTTGGGGATGGCTGAGAACATTCCTTGGACTGTTCCTCCAGGGAGGAACAGAGAGAAAGCAAAGGGTGGCTATAATCTTATTTCTCAGATACAGTGTTCAGATTAAATTAGAGAGAGCCGTGTGGGTCTCAAAGTTCAAAGTTAGAACAAAAACCTACAGTCTGTCTAGCAGAGCCCTCCTCTCCTCCCCCAAAGCCACCCACTAGCGTGCGTTCCTTGTGGTCCCTTCACCCTAACCTTTTGTTCCATGTCTGCTAAGTCCTGTCTGACTGAGATTACACTGTCACATCATCTTGGACTTTGCATGTTTTTTTTGTTTTCTGTTTTTACTTCATAATACATCTTCCCCATGCCTGTGTATATGGAGCTACAATCTTCTTTTAGACTGCTGTGTAGTATTCCAGTATTTGTTTTGCAGAATGTGTCCAGTGATGTGTGATTTGTCGAATCCTCTTTTATTTCTTAATTGCAACATCTCCAAGAACATCATTACCTCTCTCTTTCAACTCTCTTTCAACATCCTTTATAACTATATTGATAGATTAAAAACCTGTGTGCTTAAATTTTTGATGGTTCCTATTTGATTGCCTTCTAATAAAGTTTCATTGATTGATACCACATGAATAGTGAACAAAGATGCACAGTTTATTATAATTTATCAGTGCTGGGTATCATTATGCACTTTTGGGGGGGGACAAAGCAATGACCGTATTATTTCATTGTCCAATTATGTTCTGTTTAAGAAGCTGCGCATAACTTTATCACGTATCCTCTTTATTTAGAAGCATACCCTCATCTCCTTCTCTCTATTCTGGTAGATTGTCAGTCTTTTTCTTACTAGTGCGGTGAAGTCGTCTTTTGTAGGATTTGGCTGGGAAGCATTGTGACCAGTGCACAAGCAAGGTGTAAGTGAGAAGACGTGGGGAGGCGGTGACCAGAAAGTCTGAGACTGTGCTCCACGCTGACCAATCAAATAGTGTCCCTCAAAAGGAGATAGCATGGCCTTTTGCGAAGTGATGGAAATAAGGCTGCTTTGAATCCTCCCCGTTTAGTTTCTACTGAGATGAAGAGAAATGTTTGTTGCTAGGGTTTCGAAGAAGCATGCAATTTGGGCAGGAAGATGGTGGGGAGAAAGCTCTAGTAAAAAAAGGGGGCAGTATTTCAACAAGGCATGTGATCCTTCAGGGTTACCCTCTGTAGCAGATGCGATGTGGAAGGGCCTGAGGACTTAACCTCCCACGGCTGAGGGTGCTTGTGAAGGGTACTGTTTGGATGCTGTGCCTGGGAGCTGATGCTGAGCACATGACGATCCTGACAGCAGCGCCCATGGCAGGTGAAACGCACACTGGTTAATGGAAACGTACTCATTTGTTTTCCTAAAAAGCCATCGCGGACTATCAAGTAAATAGTGCACATTTGGAAAATGATCCAAATGCACATTTGGGGCCAGACTCTGTTCTAGCTTTACCCTGAGCACTGGAGGCTGCTGGAGAGAACAGCATCTTTCTTTTTCTGGTGAATCGGGGACAGTAGAGTGTTGTATAAGGCCTGGCTACCTAGTGGAATGCCCTTGGAGCACGGCCCTAGGAAGTCAGCATGGCTTTCTACTGGTGCAGGCTTTTGTTAATTGGTGTCTTTATAATAGGTCCACTATGGTGCTGATGAGCTGTGACCAGTGGTAATTAATACTCATTTATAAACTTCGTACCTCCTTGAATTCTGCACTTCTAGGAGGAAAGGGGTGTGAAAGGCTCTCGGTGTTTTCTTTCCTCCCCAGCCTTTAGTCCTTGATGGCTTTAGTAACAAGGGGGAGTGAATTGACAGGTAAGCAGAGAGGGCATGCAGTCTTCCGCTGGAGGGTTCATGGTAGTGGATGAACAGGGGACAGGGGACAGAGGGACAGCCAGGAAAAGGAAGGTAGACGAGAATCAGAGTTTTCTCAAGCTACTGAACCCTCCTGACTCAGAGGCCACAATTTCACAGGGAGTACCTGACCATCTTGGGTATTCAGGTCACCATTGTCCTATGAAATAGGGAAACCTGGTCCTACAGACAAAGGTTTTGTGGTGACACAGAATAAGAGATGGTGAAAAGAAGGGTCTCACTAGGAGAACACAGACAAGCACTTTAGAAGGCCAGGCTTTCTGGGGAGGGGCAGGTTTGTGTCCTGTGGAACATGGGAGGGGGCTACTGTGTGTGTGTGGGATCTGAATGAATACATGGTCTCTCCACTCAGTCTGACCCAACTTATTCCCTGCAGGCACTGCGCCCTTTGGGAACCACTCTACTGGGGATTTCGATGATGGGTTTCTTAGAAGAAAACAGCGCAGGAACCGGACGACCTTCACTCTTCAGCAGGTAAGGACAGATCCCCATGTGTGAGAACCATTTTCTTCTCTCAAAGTCACAGATGAGCCACTTTCTCCTTGCCCTTTAAAATGAGAGCAACTGTTGGGTTGGCCAGGTCTTTGTTTTCTTGAATAACGTATGTGTCTGCCTGGGAAAAGGACAGTTAACTTGGGTTTTGTAACTCCAGGTAATCAGTAAAGAAGTGGCTATGAATTTTCCCATGTGTCTAAGACCGATGGTCTGAGTGACATTTTCCCTGGCAGCAGAATGCAGGTTGGGCATTATTATCTCCAGAAAGACACGGGAAGACTGATTGATAAGGCTGCCCCATGAAAAGACAACGTTGCAACTTTTCTACTGGGCTTCCCCAAGCCAAGTGTCCTTAGCGCAGTCTCTTTCCTAAGCATCTGTGGAGTGACGCCCCCCATTCTCACAAGGCTTCTGTGGGTCTGACTGATCAAGAGGTTTATAGGTCTTCTCTACTCACATGGTGGCACTGTGGGAATTATTCATGAGACTACCTTTAGACTTTTAATGCCCATGACAAAAGTTCAACGTAAACACACAAAAAACACCTATGACTTGTCTATTTCTGTGTCTCGGGGAGGGCACACTGTGGTTGTTAGTAGCCTCGGCTGGCTACAGAGTCAACTGGGATTTAAAGTGTCATTCTGTGGAATTTTTCTTATCTTTTTCAAAAAATATATCTTGGGCTGGAGAGATGGCTCAGTGGTTAAGAACGTTGACTACTCTTCCAGTGTACCAGGGTTCAATTCCCAGCACCCACATAGTAAAAAATATATCTTCTTTATTTACTGTGTGTGGATGCACTTATATACACATACATGCCACTGTGTGTGTGCACATGCGTGTCACTGTGTTTATGAAGAGGTCAGAGAGCAACACGCAGGAGTGAGCTCTCTCCTTCTACCATGTGTGTCTCTGGGATCAGACTCCATTTTTCATCATTGGGCTTGGGGGCAAGGGCCGTCACTAGCTGAGACTTCTTCCAGGCCTCTGTGGAATCTTTTTCAGACAGCTCTTTTCTCCATTTCCTTCTGGGATTTGATCTTTGAAACTGCTTCCTCACCATCCCTCAACTCTGAGGAATGCATCCCTCCCTCTACTAGATGCAGCCTCTCACCATTTCCCCTCCACCCTTTCTCTTTCTTTTTACCAGCTGGAAGCTCTGGAGGCAGTCTTCGCCCAAACACACTACCCAGATGTCTTCACCAGAGAAGAGTTAGCTATGAAAATAAACCTCACAGAAGCCAGAGTGCAGGTAAACCTTCTTTTAAATTATTTAACTCTCTAATATTAAAACTGGCAAACTTTTTTTTTGACATCATGACTGCAGAGTGCACATTTGGCCAAAGAAAGCAAATGAAGACTATCTGTCATTTTCATGATGCACTTTAATAACATCAACATAATGTGGAATATTAGATTAGGTTGATTAATCGGTCATTCATAATTAACTAGTGATAATGTTCTACACTAATTTGTCCGCGTCTCTAAGGTACTAAATTACATCAATGCACATCCATTTCCTTGCTTTGGAAAAAAAAAAAAAAAGCAGAGATGCTACTCGCAAAGCAGATCTGACCGCTCTGGGGTGAGGCCGGTCAATTGCAGAGAACCGCGTTTTCAGATGGGAAGCAGGGCGGGATCTGCTTTCCAGAAATTGCATCATGCCCAATTTTTCCCCCCGCACACGGACTCTTTGAGCAAAGTGGACCTGAAAAACACGTGCAATTTAAAAATCTTTAAAGAGCAGCAGCAAAAGGGCCGAGCAGATGTGGGACGACCGGCAGGAGTGGCTGCCGCGGAGCTGCATCGCTTTTCTGAAAGCTGCCTTGGAGTGCCTAGAGCGGCAGCCGTGCCCAAGTGAGCACGGGAGGCAGAGGCTCACAGGCTGCCTCTCCAGGCCAGTTGTTCTTTGAGCACAATTATATATTCATTTTATTTATGGGGTTTCCTCCATGCTGTTTCTGTTCTTTTTTTATGTAGGAGCTTGGGGTTAAGACTATGCAAAGATCTAATTGTAGGAAATATAATAGTTTGCTTTCTGTTCCCCTGGGTCATGTTAGTATCTCTTAAAAACCAATGGCTGAAGAGAGATAATGGAATTCTGAGCAGTAAATTGGGGGTTGTAAACAAATTATTTCCCCTATAATCAGATTATGTGATCCTGATTATTAAATCTGAACATGAATCATTGGTCATATGCGGGCAAATTAAACTGATTATTATTTGGGAATGAAAATGTTCTTTGGCCCAGACCCGGTCTATAGTTCCTTTTTTTAATGCTGGCTTGCCAATAGCTGCCTAAAGACTGAACTGCAAATTGAGATAAATGGTACAATTATTGAGCATTCAGAAGTAGGAGATCATAACTTCTCCCGGAAAGGTGCAAGGGTAAGATAGGGGTGGTGACAATTAAAGCCGAGAATTGTTGTCCAGGCTGTTGTTGGCTATTATGCAGGCAGACAATGGCAGCCAAGCTAGCTCTCAGCCAGCACCCATGTGAGGACAGGAGCCTTGGTGGCGGGAAGGGAGATGTGTTTACATTTATACCGCTTGCTCATTCAAATATGATTAATGTTCTATAAAGCAGGGTCTTAATCGAAGCTGATGTTGTCAAACAATAACTAAATAGGGAAATAAACGACTCTATCATGCTCTTTCCTCAGAAGCAGGCGAACTGTCAGTGCAAAGTCATTAAAATATGATAATGAAAAATAGCTCAATTAAATGTTGTTATAGCTGTGACCTTCATTCAATTAAGACACCAGAAAGTGTCTGCATTTTGCTTTGCATTTAACTGCCCTAAATTTAGAATATAGATAAAATCATTATTCAATGGTTGCTGATATGTGCAATTAAAAGCCAACACAATTAAAAATAAGAAAGAAAGAAACCCAGTTAAAGGAGAAAGAAAACTAAGAGATAAGGTGGGCAGGCAGAGGACTCAGCCTCAAAGACCCAGGCTCTTTCCCTGTCAGTGTGCCGTGGCCAGAGGAGGTGGGAGGTTGCCTCTAGGAGTTGGAGAGAAGCCTTGTCAAACCTGATTTTTAGACAGAAATTATCTTTGAGAAGGAAGAAGAGATGAGGCGAGGAGAGGGAAGGTTTCTCTGGGTGACGTAGAGATCCATGGGCTTTTGTTGTCTTCTGTGAACATCTTGAGCTGCCAGGATTCTGTTGAGCAACTCCAATTATTTTTTCCTCCTAAGACGAAGGAATTACCCAACATCAGCTTCTAAGGAGGTAGCAAGGTCAAGGTCAGACACTAACGTTGTCCTGACTTGATGGTGAATAGATGGGACAGTAACCAGTCTTCACTGAGTGACCAGTTGCTGTGTGCTAGCTGGGCACTTTGCCCAATATTTTGCATGTATGTCTTTCTAACAATGGTTAGGGGTGATAGCATTGCCCTCTTTCCCTGTAAGTGTGGATCTCTGTCCTGAGCCAAGCCGCTGGGCTTCTGCAGGTTAGTGAACCTCTCTGTCTGTGAACTGGGGTTAGCAGGACTGCTTATCCCTTAGGGATGCTGTGAACCCTAAGCCACATTTGTTATTCAAGATTCAGAATTTCTAAGCCATTCTGACTCCAGAGAGAGGGTCTCTCCTGGGGGCCCTATGCAGCTGGTCAGGAATTTGTGTACAATCCTGCAGCACAGAGCACAGGTGTGAGCTTGCTGGAAGGTGGAGTGTGTCTTTCATGATGAGAAGCCCCGGGACAGCATTTTGCAAATTGCTTTCACCAGGACTCCTGCTGGGAAAACTTCACATCAAACTGGTTCTCACAGGCAGTGCAGCATTGCAAACTCCTGCAGGAGGATGCTTTCCCTTCTTGTGGGCAGTGTACTAGATGCTCTCTGATCTTTCCTAGTCCTTGAGAAGTGTCTATCAGAAGCAGCTTAGCTGATCCATCTGTGGTCTGAAGTTCTGGGGCAGAGGACAACTGAGGGTGTTGGCATGGGCCTCCCGGAGCCTGTGCTTGGGTCATGGCTGGCTTCTCCTGTCTGACCCTTTGTCTCCCTTGGGTGTGTTTCCTATGGGATTCAGGTTTGGTTCCAGAACAGAAGAGCCAAATGGAGGAAGACAGAGAGAGGGGCCTCTGACCAGGAGCCAGGGGCCAAGGAACCCATGGCAGAGGTGACACCACCACCAGTGAGGAACATCAACTCTCCACCCCCAGGGGACCAGGCCCGGAGTAAAAAGGAAGCCCTGGAGGCCCAGCAGAGGTAAGATTAGCTGACTCTAGAATTAGGAGTCTGGGGTAACTCTGTAGACAGGCTGGACCTCAATGGAACATTTTGTTTTTGACAGCCTGGGACGCACAGTGGGCCCTGCTGGGCCTTTCTTCCCTTCCTGTTTGCCAGGGACCCTCCTGAACACAGCCACTTATGCCCAGGCCCTGTCCCACGTGGCATCTCTGAAAGGTAAGATTGGTGGGTGCAGAGGTGGGGTTAGTAGAGAGGGTGGAAACTGTCTGGCCTCCCTGCTGTCTCCGCTGGGCAAACAGCAGAATCACAGGCACCACGCATTTCCACAATTGCTGTCCTGTTTGATTTCAAACAGCCTGAGAGTGCAGGTGGATGTTACTAAGTTTCATCTTGCCCAACCCAGAGCTTCTCTTAGAGGCAGCCCTTTTAGAGGCAACTACTCCACAACCTCTGTCGTCACAGTTTAAGGTGCCCATAGGGGAGATCTGGGGGGTGGCTGTCCCTGCTTTCAACTCGCTCTCTCCTATGTGCATCTTGCTTATTTGCGCTCCTCAGGGATTCCTGGGGCTAGAGATCTGAATCTGTAGAACTTTTGATCTCTTCTCAGTGGCTAGTATCATGGAAGGTAAGAAATCTACTGTAGGTGTTTGGTCAGGCCTAGAGCAAAGACCTTTGCAGGGCTGCTCCGTGGGGATTTGGGGGTGGGGCAGGCACTGTCCTTAGAGGTAAAGGTGCATCTGGTGTCTTTGGATTCCAGGCCACAAAACAAAACAAGACAGAACAAACACTATTGGAGATGTTTAGTCAGTCCATCAGTTGTGCTAGCCAAGAACAAGGCAAAGCTCCAGAGTGGATCTGGGAGGCTGCTGGAGGTCTGAGGGAGCGGAATGTGGGTGGGACATAGGTTCATCCCTGGGAATAGGCAGTCGGGAGGCCTCCTAGGCTATGTACTGCTCATCCTTGCTATGGTCTTGTGGTCTCAGATATCATTGTCTTCCAAGGAATTCCTCTACAACAGATGTATTGAAGTACACACACACACACACACACACACACACACACACACACACAGAGGAACCTCCATCCATAGGCACAGGACACAATTACAAACCAGGATCCCCTAATTCAAAGCTCTGACATCCCAAATGCTCCAGAATCACAATGAAGTCAGAGGTGATGTAACACATGGAAAACTTCCATTCTGACCTCACATGACAGGAAGTTGTCAAAAGGCAGAGGTGCTTAGAATCATTGTGCAAACTTACCGTCAGGCTCAGTGTGTAAAAGCACATGAAACCTAAACCAACTTTGTGTTTAGACTTCTGTCCCAACTCCAAGATACCTTTTGGATGTATATCCAAATATTCCCCATATCTAAAGAAAGAAAGAAAAAAAAAGAAAAAAAAGAAAAAAGTTATCCCACATCAGAAACATCTTTGGTCTTAGGCACTTTAGATAAGAGACGTGCAACCTGCACAGAGATAGATGCTTAGCTAGCTCAGGGTCCCAGAGGAGCATTATCCAAGGGGCTGATCCTGACAAAGGAGCTCGCCGTGTCCATCAGTCTACGAAGTGCTGCCAGCCACAGTGAGCTCTGGCAGCCACAATGAGAAGATCTATCAGATGCAGTGAAATCTAACAGCTGCAGTGAGCACTGTCAGCTGCAGGGAGCTCTGTCAGCTGCAGTGAGCACTGTCAGTTGCAGTGAGTGCTGTCAGCTGCAGTGAGCATTGTCAGTTGCAGTGAGCACTGTCAGTTGCAGTGAGCGCTGTCAGCTGCAGTGAGTGCTGTCAGCTGCAGTGAGTGCTGTCAGCCACAGTGAGCTCTATCAGCTGCAGGGGGTGCTGTCAGCTGCACTGTTCAGCAGTGAATAGCCACTTCTAATAAACATGTTTCCATTACTGCACCCCAACCCTGTACATGGGAGTGATTTGCACATTTTTCCTTTCTTGTAATTTTTGGGTGTCTCTTTGGTAAATAGAGCTAAACCCTGCAGTGGACCTTTGCCCAAAGTGGGGAGGGTGTAGTGGGCAAAATCTAAACTTCAGGAAAGGAAGGGTACAAGTGTCCAAAAGCAGTGGATAAGCAGAGGCTCAGAGCTGGAGTCTGAGCTGTGCATGTCTTAGAGAGCATCCACCTTGGTGATGTCCTAAGGTAAAGGGCAGAGCTGGTAGTGGTGCTGCTGCTGAGTGGGACCAGCTTCCTATACTCATCCTTCCCCCTTCCTGCTCCCCCCACCCTGTCTCCCGTCTGTCCCTTCATTAATCCCCTACAGCTGGGCTGTGAACCCCCAAAGGCTGTCAAATGCACATTAGGAACTGAATTCCTTTGATACTACATTGCTTTGGGGGATCTGGGATGGTCAGAACCCTGCAGAGTGGCAAGAATCACTGTGTGCTCACTAGACACAGGCCCATCTCTGTGCTTTGCAAGGGCCTGCCTGGCAGCCTCCCGTGTCCTTGGGTACATATGCTCTTCCTGGCAGGGCAGGGTTAGGTACAGAGAGAGGATGGGACAACAAGACCTGTTGGGACCCATAGCATGCTGGGATGCTTCTAGAGCATCCACCTTAACACAGTTCCTCATGTTGTGACTCCAGCTATACAATTATTGTCGTTGCTACTTCCTAAGTAGAATTTTGCTATGGTTATGAATCATAATGTAAATATTCCTGGAGATACAGGTTTGTCAAAAGGAATCATGACCCACAGGTTGAGAACCAGTGTTCCAGACAGAGGCACTTGCGAGAAGACTGAACTGTGTGCTCATTCTCTGCCTCCCTAGGTGCCAGGGAGCTCTTGTCTACTTTTCTGCAAGTGTGGGGCCCTTTTTCTTGCCATTTTCTGCTTTGAGACAGGCACGGGTAAAAGGCAGAATTCTCCATTACCAGTAAGGGACCTATACCAGGTAGTTACCATACATATGCTTGAAATACATGTGCTTCAAGAACCTGTCTGGCTTTCTATAAATGAAAAACCGAGGCTCAGGTTAGGGAAGCCATTTGTGCATATCTGGCAGTCTTGGGGCAGATGTTGGGCTCACAGAGGTGGGTGAAGGACATCGTTAGGGCAAAGCTATTACCAAGCAGCCCTCCATTGTGAGTAGGTAGTCAGACTGGTCCCAAGCAGCTTAGTGTCTACAGTCTGGAGTTTTTCCTTTGATCTTGTGCCAGATTCCATGGGGCAACCCCTCCTGCTTTTTGAATGTTAAGGTAACTGAGGGGAGACATGATCCAGAAAGTGGTCTATGTATAGTCTAAGCAGTCAGTAGCAAGCAGCTCTAGATGGCAGCTGCCTTAGGAGACCAGAAGGACCAATTTTCCCTCCTTGGGAGTTTCATGTCGAGGGAAGGCCTGGAACTTGGCTAGCTGTAGGCCCAATGTAGGCTGGAGAAGCCAACATTGGCTACGGTGTGAAACATTCCTACATCCCATCATTTCTGTGCATGTGCTGAAGGCTGCACTGATGATGAGTCTGTCTCAGGCCCAGAAGGTGAGGGCAGAAACTACCGCATGCCTCCTACCATCCATCCATCCGTCCTCGGGTGCTGGTGCTCTGTAGTCAGCCAGGTTTATGGGCTCCAGTGCTTACACAGGAGGCTCGGTGTTGGGGTGTGGAGATGAGGAAGTGTGCACTAGAAGGGTGCATCTGTGCTGGTCAGCGGGGGGACCCTGGTGCTGGGAAACAGAAGGTATCTGGGAAGTGGGCAATGGCAGTCCTTGGTGGGACTAGGTTGTAGAACCTCGAGTGTGGCAGTCATGAGAAGTGTGCGAGGGTAGATCTGAGACCAACGTCCAGCTTCCATGAGAGAGTGAAGCGGCTGCTCCCCTGGCCAGGAAACTGTTCATGGGGACAGAGTGAAATAACATTCCCCCTTAATCGGTGTGCACAGGCTAGCATGGATTCCAAGCAAGGGCTTGGGCGTGGCTTTGCTTATGTGGCCTGAGTTTTCCCTTCCTCTAGCCTTTTAAGTCTTAAAATTAAAAAAAGAAGTGTGTGTGTGTGTGTGTGTGTGTGTGTGTGTTAGCAGAGGAAGGGGAGTGTGTGTTTTTGTGGGATGGAATGAGGAGGTCATGTGTGAGGACAGCTGAGAGCTTGTGGAGGTGCTCGTTGATCATTGCCTGCCACTAGTACTGGGAGTCCTTTGTCTTCATCTGGTGGCAGTGCTGGTCTCCTCTCATGAGTCCACAGGAAAGTCTGCTCCCCGAGACTGCTCCCTCCAGGAGCTTTGTTGCCCTTGAGATGCTCCGCCCACTGACCCTTTCCTCATATCTACCACAACTCTAAGTTTTGACAATGCCGAAAGGCCTTAACAACCCTTGTAAGATGTCATGGAGCTTTCTAGGTCATGTGCTTGCTTGTGAAACGCTTAGAAAGAACTTACACTGGGCAGATAGGCTGGCCTGGCTTACACATAGCTTGGCTCATGACTGACTGATTCATGCAAATCATCAACTTAGAAAGTCACAGGACCTTGCTTGGACAGGGAAAGTTTACAGAACAGTAATGAGTATCCAGAGGACAGCACTGAGAATTTGTGTGTGTGTGTGTGGTCTTAATGGACAGCTTTGTGATCACATTTCATTAATATGGAAGATATTACTACCGGCCACTGAGGCACTTGGGTTTGTTCTGGAGGCAGTGCTGGCATTAGGTGAGCAAGAACTGCTGGGGGCAGAAGAGCCTCAGGCAGCAGAGGAAGGTGGTCCCTTAAGGGCTGAGTTGCTTAGCTCCCTGCCTTTAACTGAGATTCACAGAACCAAATGTATCAGGAGAGAGCTTCCATAGCTCACTGGCCTGCTCAGCTCATGCTGTGAGAGCCATAGCAAGCTCACTTTGGGCAGGGCAGTGGCATCAGCAGACCTTCCCAAAGGACACACCTCCTTCCCTGGGCAGGGCTCATGATGAAGATTCTCTGTGCAGGATGCAGGCAGGCTTGAGGTAGCAGCAGAGTAGCACAGTGAGGTTTGACCCCTTCTTCCCTCTTGTCATCTGTTCCTGGGGAGATGACCTGGGCCTAGCAGACACAGGTGAGGTCTGGCCAAGAAGAAGCAGGGGTGGGTAGGACTGCAGCCACTGTGATCCTGGCTACGCTTGGCTGGCTGAAGTCTTGGGTGTGAAGTCTGAAGAGGATGCAGGATCATCACACTCACACACATTGGCTCTCAGCAGTCCTGAGCCTGCATGAAGCATACTTGAGTCGTGCATGAGGATAAA